CAGAAGGTCGGAGAGCTATGTGGGGAAGTTGATTCCCTCACATGGCCCGCTGCTAAACGATCGGCAAAGAACTTGTCGATCGCAAGTACTTGTTCACGAGGCAGTGGCCACTGCTTCATGACACAGTACTTCGAGCCTGGTTTAAGCTCGACTTCGTGTCGAATACCTTTATCCTTCGGTAATTCGCACGGAACAGTTTCAGGGAATACATCCTTGAATTCAACCAAATCTTCATAGAGAAGATTTTCCTTGAGCGATTCCCATGATTGGGACTCATATCGCTCAATTAGTGTCTTTTCATCTAGGACACTCTCGTCCATAGATGAACTACTGAGAACTCTCTCGTTCTCAGTAAACACTGTTGCTGACCTTATGTCGGTTACACACTCGTCGTCAGCGACGAGTATGCAGATCTGCTTGACTTTGCCACTACGCAGATCACGCAAGAACCTTTTATGTTCGAGCGTTGGCAACTGAGTGATCTCCGAAGTTAACTTCGGAGGCGCAATCAGATCAAGTGTATAAGCGCCTACACATGATCCGTTATTGACTATGACATTCAATGTCTCTGTCATTTCCTGGGGACTCATTCCCTCAGGCTTCGAAGGACTTATTCCTTCGTCTTCCCGGGGACTTATTCCCGCGGGTTTCGGGGAACTTATTTCCGCCGTATTTGTAATATCGGGACTTATTCCCTTTACTTCCTCTAGCTGGGGTTGCGCAACCACAGCGAGATCCTCTACGAAAGACTCTCCAGTCGATCTAGGATTATCGTTTCGCTTAACCTGAGCGATCGATGCTTTCTCTTCTAGATGTTCCCCTCTAGGGATACATCTTTGTCCCAGTCCACCCGACTTATTCGAGTGGTGGACCTTCGGCGCAGCCTGTGTTTCCTCACAGCCGCCGGAACTTTGCTCCGAAGTGTAACCGTTTGGTACACTAAGGTTTTGTGCAGTCGTACTAACGACCGTACCACAAGTGAGGCCATCGCACTCACTCGTAGTACATCCACACGCTTGTGGACGCTCCAAAACGTTCATCAGATGGCCATCTGATGAACAAGCGGCAGGCATCGTTACTGTCCGATGTTGCCAGTTTACCCGTGGTTCGTACCTTCTGAGCCACGGTATTCCAAGGATGACATCAAATTTGTCATCCAAATCCAATACGATAAAGTCATCGTCATATTGGGTATCTTCTAGCGTATAGCGAATCTTCACTATACGCTTCATGACGGTTACGGATGCGCCTGTCGCAAGACGTACCGTCATCCTCGTAGGAGGTGTGTCACATTCACTGAATTTAAAGTGACCATCTTCTAGCGATTGGCGTCGCACAAAATTGTTAGACGCCCCACAATCGACTAGAGCTCGAAGGGACAACTTATTCGTCACTTCGAGTTTCAAGGTAATGAGTGAGATCTCATTACCTAGAGCAGCAACGCACAACGTCTGTGTGTTGGGAGCAACCTTCATCAAGAGGCCTACAAATTCTCTTGACGTTGCTGGATCAGTAGGGTGCTCCGCACCTACTGATCCTGTCCGTTTTTTGACGGTCCATCCCGTTGTTGCGTCTTTGCACCAACTGCGGACCCTCGTCCCTGCCCCTTTCTCATGGGTGGACGGTCACTACGCCCAGTGTCGCGAGACACTGGACGAGGGGCACTACACTCGTAAGCGTAGTGTCCTGTCTTTTGACATCTGTTGCATCTCTGCAACTTCTTGTAGCCTGTAGAGCGAACCTTCTCGCTCTCTACATAACAGAGTTCCATCGGCTCTGGACCTCCGTTGTCATATCGTCTCGGTTGACGATATGATGTCGAGCTGGCGCGAGCCTGTCTCAGACTGAAGTCTTCCTGCTCCGCAATGGAAATGGCTTGTTCTAGTGAATCTAGTTCAAGCCGGAACAGGTGAGTCTTGACGGGACCATCCGCAAGACCCTGCATGAACACCGAAACCAACGTGTGTTCATCCACTGGATTGGAACTTATACAACTCGTAAGATGTCGTATATGTTGAGCGTAAGCGTGCACATCACGCTTACCCTGCTTGAGCTTCAAGAGTTCGGTTCGAGCCCTGAACTCAGCTCTAGGCGGTTCAAACGTTTGTCTGAGCCGCGACTTGAAGACTTCCAACGACCCAAACGCATATGGGTCGTGCAGCTTGAGCCCCAGTGCCCAAGTCTTGGCACGTCCTGCCAGATTTGATTGGGCAAATGCAACTTGCATATCCCCGTCGTCGATGCGACGCGCCCTTATGGCGTCATCCAATTCGACGAACCATCTCAAGAGGGAGTCTTCTTCGACCCCTCTATACTTTGAGATGTCAATCTTCAAAGTCTCGGGCCGACGCGAGTGCATCGACCCGCCAGCAGCAGCCTGCTGCTGTCTCAACAGTTCAAACTGTTGAGCACCTTGTTCTCTCAACAACTCTGCTTGTTGAGAACCTTGTTGGTGAAGCAAGGCTACTTTCTCGCGTTCAGCGTCAAGTTCATTTTGGATGAACTTGGCGATAGTAGCATGTTGGGCGTCTCTATTGAGAGCCTCTAGCATGACGCTAACAGCATGGATGCCCATGGTCGAACCCATTCGTTCAACCGCATCCCATTCGACATCGCTCAAATGGGAGTAGCCGTCACGCGTAGCGTGAAAGCTTTGGTCATCTTCATCATCCAACATATTCATGTTGGATGTGAACGCGGTCCTTGGACGGACTACGAAGTGCTACCAGGTGTAACGGGGCACTCTGAAGCTTGTACTGGTGACAGTACAAGCTACTTATTCTGATAACAGAATAAGGCGGTGTCTCGTAACTTCACGTACACTAGTACGTGCAGAGGAAGACGGTAAGAAGAAGCGAGTACTTGGTTAGAGTAAAAGTAGAACTGTATTTATAATAGTTAATGTCTGCAATAAATCACTATTTATCTTCATCTAACTATGTCTAAATACAAATGTGTAAATCAATTATCTGCTCACCACTCATTGCGTGCGTCTGTCGTGGCGCGTCTTCGTTGGTTGATATAATGGCCTATATCAACCAATTAGGAACTACTTGTAAGTGCTACAGAATATTTGTCCTTATGACAATATTCTGAGAATATAACTCTTATAGTTATATTCTATTAACAATTTCTTATAAATTGTTATGTAACGATTCACCCCGTTACAAATGGTCCGCGCTCGTGTTTCATCAAATGACTCGCAGTGCTCGTCGTTTACATGAAACCTGATCAGGACGTCCTCCAGCTGCAAACAGTTGCCTTTCGTCAGTTCCACTCCAATAAGTGTTGAGGTGTACGCAGGCGCTTTCGCTCTCTCATGGTGATTAATCAGAGTCTGAGTGCTTGAATTCGCACTCTTGGCATTTAGTGGAGACGCATCGTCATTAATCCAGTCCGATACTGCGCTAGCAAATCGACCGCGCTTCCGTTATGGCGCTGCCTGGACTTACATTTCAGCATCATCATCAACGAACACTTTGCAGTCCAACATGGCGACCTGCGCGTCTCGCTGCTGAAGTTCGATAACGTCGTCGTTGAAGTTATCGACATGATCGTCAAACAGGCTTGACGAAACAACGACTGCAACATAGTAGTAAGTACGTCTAGAGGTTGCCATCCTCTTTAATATACTGGCGATAGGAAATGTCTGTTGGCTTTCCTGTAGTTGCAGGGATCTGCGGCCGGATCGTGCGTGTCACTCGATTATCGGGAAATAAAACCGAATAAAATCTGATTTTGGAAGCTGTCGGGTTTTAGCAAAAAACATAAAACCCAATTGTAAAGACTCAGTTGTAAATACCCAATTGTAAAACCCCACTTGGTGCTAGCCCTGGTTTAATTACTTCTGGGCACAGTTTTATTTAATCATTTCTCTTACTATATTTTATTTCATATAGGTTTCCCTTTCGGCATTTTTTCTCGAGGTGCTGCTGAAGGTCTTCCACAATTATTTTTACCTTCACTTCCACGATGAGAGTGATCTACAGAATTTTTAGCTACTAAACGTACGAAATGGTCGTCTGATTAACCAACGTGCACATTCACTTGCGCAGCAAGATCTAACAAGAAACAGCTCCACCTTAAACTCAGCTTCCTATAAAGCGAGTTGGGCAGCTTTCGTTACGACTTCCTAATATGATCACGCCCACCAACGAATTTAGCAATCAGTCGAATGTGATTGTTGCTTATTGGAAGTTACTCCACAATTGTGACGAGACTAGAAGCCAAACATCATTACAGTTGATCGATTGGTCAGCCCGTTCAGGTGCTGTAAAATCTACAGAAATTACCCGTTCTGTCATAGTGAGCGGGGCACCCTTCAGAATTATCCCACAAGCACGGGATCGTCTCGTTTGCTAGAATAGTCATGACGTCCACACTTGCTTCACACCACGTGTGACTTAGTGTGAATTAAGTGTTAGCGTATCGTACAATCAGCGACTCATCGAAAATAAGTAACCGCAGTGGTCCAATAGACTGGCAAACTGCATTATTTTGCTTCCACTTCATGCTGCAGAAAGACCATCCTCAAATGTAAACGTCCATTACAGTTTTTTATAAAAAACATTTGGGAGCTAAGTCGTCATAAAACACCTTCTCCTTGAACCTAAGTAAAAAGACGCTGGATCGACTCCCCTTACACGCGCGTGCTGTGATGCAGCTTGATAACGGTATATCCGATACCCCGTCTCCGAACCGAAAGATGTGCGCGTTAAGGGTCAACCCAGTAGATTTTGCTGTATGATAGTGTTCATGCTCCATGGGATACAGGAGACCTAATGTGATTACATGATCGTAATTAAACCCGGTAGCTCTCGTTGATGCTGCTCTTCAATGTTTATACGACTTATGGTACCACTCGCACCAGTTATAAAATCGATACCTTTTCTGAATTTATCTCGACAATCGTCCAACCTTTACATTGTCAGCTGTAATATCACTATCGAGAAAAATCATCGCATCAATCAGAACCACTGACGTGCAAAATCACATCAAGCATGTCAGGCAGCATGCTCCAGCTCGTCGCTAGACGCTGCAAATACTACGCGTTCATCAACACATTTATCTGCAGCGTCGGCCTGTTCACCTACGTCTCGCTGCTATCGATGAATCACAGCGGAGACTCGATAGTGGTGCTCGTGCAGCTACTACTGGTCTACAGTGTCAGTTTGCTACGTATTGTAGCCATAATCAAATGGTTCGAGTGGATTGCGACCAAGAAGCCTCAGATTCACGGCAAAAAGCATATACAGCTCACTGGCGAGCAGACCAGATCCATCTACTACTGCATCGTACGGGTCGTGGTGCCCACCGAGTGTGCGTCATACTGGTTCGCAAGGCAGACTGCTGGGTCCATGCAAGGCAATTTGAACTGGTGGACGTTTCTTGTCGAATTCGCAGCTTTTATCCCCAAATCCCTACTTTTTGAAGTCATCTTTGACTTCTTCCACTTTGCGGCGCACTGGGCGTGCCATCAGAGTCCGTGGCTTTACAAGAACGTCCACAAGCGTCACCACCTGCATATCCACCCATGCCCTCTGTCGACGTATGCACAGGACGGCGTCGATTTAATTCTCACCAATGTGATGCCGTTCTGTCTCGCGTGGAGCTTTGGATTTTGTATGTCAGACCTCCAGTTGCACCTGCTTCTTGCGTACAAGACGTATGTGGAAGTCGCAGGCCACTCGGGCTTGGATATCAAGGGCTTTTCATTCCCTCAAATGCCACTGTTGAACGATTTTACAAGCATTTGTCTGCGGGTACATGATCACGACCTCCATCACGCGCGTCAGCGCTACAATTTCGCCAAGCGTTTTTCGCTTTGGGACAAGGCCTTCCACACGTTTCGCGCGGGTGATACAGTGTCACCAGTGTTGTGACAAGGAGACAAACCGATCAATGACATTATAACCTTGTAAGCTGGATTTTACTGTTGTAAGCAAGAGTACTTGTTATTTGAGAAGGATTTGGTATAGTCACTTGAGTACAATGCGCGTTATTTCCTACAGCAACACATTAATTCTCGTGTTCAAGCATCGCCAGCGGAGCATAACCATGCGGTACTTGCCGCAATATCGGCTCCTTCACAGCTACATCGCATAGTACACATCATATCGAACTCATCACCTCTATGCTGCTGTTATGCTTCATTTGCTTCATCTAGGTTAACGGTAGAGCATCTGTCGTTTATCGAGCGGCGACAATGACCAATTATTTGGACTTCTATTTCGATTAGATTCCTATTCGAACGGAATAGCAAGTACTGCCGCATGAGATTGCACTGTCGGTCTATCGTTGTAAGTAAAAGTGCGAACGTATCGCATACGTAGTAGGCTCCAAACTTACCACCCCGGATCGCTGTCGAAGAGTATCGAATAAGCTTCTACTATGGCAATTTCCTGAAACATGCAAACGTTTAATCGCTTTGTAGATCATTTCGAGTACCAGCTGCATATCGCAATAGAACAATGCATACTTTGGATTGATTGCAAGCCCGAAGGGTGAAGCAATTGGTGCGTGTGCGCAAGGTTGAATGGCGAGCTTGTAAGCGTACTTATCTGTGTCTGTCTGCCTCTCTGTCTGTCAGTCTTTAGATAGCGCGGCTAGGTCTACCTTACACATACAAAGTACGAGCTAGCCTGTCCCCTCCTCATGGGAATATAGGCATATTCAAGTCACTCTTTGGCTAGGTCACTATTGTGACGCACGCTTGTGATTGGCTTCAACATCGATCAGTGGTGAATACGACCACATGTGCAAATGCTGGACGCTCATAAGCAAAGGCCGTCGCGTTACCCTAGCATACTGTACTGGGTTAAAACAGACATTGACAGCACCAGACTCATTCTTCATTCACTTCTTTTGTATACAGTGTTTTGCTTCTGCATTCAGTTCTCTGGATTGAATTACTTATACTCAAGGGAGAGCTCCAGAGCTTGCTCCCCTAAATTAAATAGAAACAATGATCCGCTGAACAGATTCAGCGGTTCTGGATGTTACAAGGACACTATAAGCGCGTACTCCCGAAGCGACACTTTTGTAGAATGTATTTACTTAATTGCTCACAGACATGGAAATCATTTCTTAAGCAGAAATACTTATTCTCGGAAACTGGCTTATTGTCGACAACATAACTATATCAAGCAGCACATAATTAAGTAACTGTTTCTCCTATCCGAACTGAAATCACTAAATCAAGAAAGCTTTATCGAACACGTAAACATTTTACTGACGACTAAAATCCACTAGAAATAATCCATGGCTGAACGCTTGAACGTCACTTCTACCTTGACATCGAGCATTCGTAGAAACATTCTGTGAGAATATGCGCCTTGAATGTTTCAAACGCGTAGCGGAGACAAATGATACGAATTAGCCGAAAATTATGAGCTACGTAAAGTTACGAAATATTCGTACGAGAAAAATCATTAAACGAGTGAGTTAGCCCTGTCAAAATATCACTGTACTTACATACAAAGTACGAATTCCCAATGTAAAAAGGTTCTAGACCTTCCAGCACAAGTCCAAAAATATGGATATGATCCAGACTTTCCTGGAAAAAATTGATTCTTGCAAGTTTGTAGTTCACCTCACAGAGTTTTCCATCTCTATCATGCTCTAAAATTACTGATCTGAAATTTGTGACAGATACCAAACCTTTTAACAAACGCCTGCGCGTCTCCCAGAAAATGGAGCTTGTTGAAGCTTCATCTACTTGAATGCTTCAATACCGAACGAGCTAAGTGATTTTACTGAAAATCCTCAATGTTCAGGCCAAGATGTTTTACAAATGTCTTAGCCTACCTGAGGGCACCATCAAGTTATCCTGTGGAAGTTTGCAATGTTCCAGAAGCGAAAAGGTCTTTGCAGCATCAGGATTCACAGCGAGAGCCATGAAGCATGGTGCTGCGCGAATGAGGAAGCCACGGATACAGCTTTGCCCGGGATTCGGGCTGTAATTGCATGCTATGAACCCAAATATATATATTCAACTTGGACGAACTGACATGCTTGAGTTTGAACTCACCTAAATCTATTTTAAATGTCGTAAAGATACTGTACGTTATAACAGGACGCTTATGCGACATGCTCTTATCGAATACACTTGCGCAAAAAAGTGAGGGTCTAAAGAAAGAGAAGCTCAGCGTTAAATAAAATTCCAGAATTCATTTTAGATCCTTAAAATGTTTACATTTCGATAGCAGATTTTTTTCTTGGCGCGGTCGCTATTGCCTTCAAGGTTTATGCGGATAGTACTGATAAACACAAGCCTTTTTATTTAAAAGTGAAAACAACTTGCTGTACTAAACTCGAGTTCATGTACAAGGTCTTACGATACTACATGTACAACAAGAAGGCCTATATGATGGTTTCCTCTTACAGTAATAATTAGAGAAATAAGACACCAACATGATGGTGGGTAAATAAATCAATTTTGGATCCATTAAAATTGTTCAGCGCGCGTCAAAACGCTATAACTCAGAAATAGAATCATTTCTATGACAGCAAGAGAAAGGTCTAGTTCTCTACAGGCATATATTAACTCGTACTAATAACAATCTAAAGCCGGAGAATGCGCATATGCAATTCCTGGTTTGAACCATACCCTTTACATTCAGCCCATGGATGCTGGAATCATTGGGTTTTTGCAGCGCCACAACAGGAACATCCGTCTTCAGATTGATATAGACCGCAACGAGGCGACTATATCAACGTCTATAAGAGTGACCGGTTGACCGCCTTTAAAATGGAAAATGAGAGCGTGAAAGGATATAGGGTAGCTGCAACTGTGGCAACACATTCAACCACACTGGTCTCTCGCAATGTCGCCTCTGCCTTCTGTGTTCGATTAGGCAGAGCAGAAATTGGTGGGAGGTTGCAGAAAACCTTCAATCTGCTTCTTAATAAGAATCCTATGGCCATTTTCATTCTAAAAAAGTAAGTGGAGGATGAATGATGCAGTACCCTGGAATTGAATGACATTGAAAAAATTTAGATGTTGTAAGAGTCTGAAGAGGAGGGGGAAGAGGAGAAGGAGAAAGTGTAAGTGGTAGAGACTAGCAAGTAGAAAAGATCAGAGACTGTAGCTGTTACTTTTCCCTTTTAATCTGCAGATACCTGAAGTTAAATTTTCACAGGCGTATCCGTGAGATTCAGGTGTCCATCCTTTAATAATACCCCTCAAAGCACCCTTGGTTCTTGGCTGCAATACTTAAGTACATACAGATCACTTCGTCTTCTTTAATAGAGTGCATTTAAAGCAGCATACGTATTTTCTTTATTATAAGTATTCTCGTGTAATTATGGATTTGTTTAAATTAATCTTTTTTTAGTCAGAATCACTTCCTTTTCTTTTTTCAAGTAAACCTTTAACAAGCCAAATCTGATTGGTCAATGTGTGTAAAATATACCCAGACAGCACACTGTATGAAAAGGTACCATTTTGCTTAAACGTAAAGTCTCGTTAGTGCATGCACCTCATGACCTTACCCGGTATGACAGTCGTCCGCAAATTTTCATCTGTGGCTCTTATACTACAAAATGCTCGGTCAGTATGATGCACTCAATCTACATATGCGGTATTGGTGACTCAAAATAATCGCCCCGTTTCAACCGACATGTGCTATGCTTTTTGAGAGTGGGGTAGATGCCAAAGCGGCTCTAAATGTCTGCGGGGGCTTAGAGATGGCCTAAATTTTCAAAGTAAATTGTATGACTGAATTACGAGCAAGATTCGTTTTCACGTAAACGCGCATTTTTTTCGTCTTTTGGACACTTGAATGTGTCGATAAGAAGAAGAATAGCAAAGTGCAGTATCGCGTGATGTTTATGATTGTAGCAAATTATTATAATAGCCACACGAATCTAGACCTTGTCATTAATCATTACGGCCTCATTTGCTTCGTCGTGTCGCATCTATATCGATGTTAATGCTGGTCTGTAAATGTGCATCAATGCCCTTCACCGCCACCGTTCCTGTCTTTTTTTGCCTCATGTCTTCCCCTTTTCCCACTCCATCTTTTTTATAAAGGTGCATTACCATCCATGTCTGTTGAATACCATTTATAGATGCGCGCAACCGTGTTGTCGATTTTGAACACCGATATGAGTGTTTGCTCTTGAGGATGCAGTTTTGTGGTCTCGGAGTAATTTCGACGGAGAATTGAGTAGCAATAGTAGGCTATCACTAGACGTATGCGCATTTTAATCTATATCATTATAATTCTAAACTAACAGTGCACGCACGAGCTTTGCCACCATCTCATACCCTATCACATTGCCCTTTCATACAGTGTTTCGCAGTTGGTGGAACCGCTAGACCACCGTTCGATGCCTTAAAGTCATTATAATAAATTGGCTTGTGAGGGTATGGAGGAAAATGAGTTCACTTAGCACTAGAATACTAACCAATGCCAACTTTTAGCGACATTTTATTACTTAACGAAAGAAAAAGGAAGTGAATCTATCCAGTAAACGGAATAATTTATACAATTACTTATGAGTGTTGTACTTGTGAAAACCTATAAAGTCCGATGATTACGAGCTATGAGTGAGCGAACATAGAACAAGCATGGTGGAACACAAATTGCATTAAAATATGTTTATTACGATAAATGCTAACTATAAGCTCTCCGAGCAAATGCCTCAATAATTGTCCGTCTCAGACTGTCAATAGGATAAATATAGTCGATAAAGTATATGCAGAATTTCTACAACACTACGATATTGGCAAACCAAAATAATGAACCGAACATTATTCATTTACATATGTTTATCTACACATTGATTCATAATATCAAACGTGAGATTGCTGAGTTTCACAAAGCGTATTGCTATTATTACCACAGTTTCCGTAATTAAGACCCAACTAATAGGTGTC